TAGCAGCAGAGCAATGAAGTGTTCGACATTACATGTAGATATAAGTTGCTATGAACATAAGCTTTGTACAAACTAAACAAGCTCTGAATAGCAAAACGACTGGATGTATCAAACGATGACTAAATAATATAATGATTCTATTGTCATTGCTAAAAAACGTTGTTTGCTCACTGAATTCATTTCGAATGTTAGCAATCATGAGGATTTTTATATCAAAAATGATAAAAACTATGATTTAGGGACGAAACAAAAGTCGTTATCTTAACTCTTGAGTTTTAATAAGAATCTGAATAGCATACATAATAAGCGGTGAAAATACTTCTATGCACTACTCAGAATGTTAAAAATGATTGTGATATGATGGGCGGTGTCCGAGATCTGATACTGTCATGTCCTGATAGGAATAATGAATGGGATCCTTTTATGGTCCAATACTATGCGTATATTTTTATCGTATAATTGTTAAATAACTAAACTGTTCATATTCATGTCCCTCTTATTATGAGCTTTATTTTGACCTATGAACTATTATTATACGATTTACATTCTCGAATTATGCCCTGTCTATTAATTACTACCTCCCACACTCACAGCCACATCTGGCTAAGTCTTGTACAAATGTTATTTTCCATTTTATGGTACGACGTGGTCTGTCTGGTTGGTATATAGACCCAGTATGCTTGAAATAAATGATTCATATCGCAGAGGCTGTGACTGGTGTTCTGGACTTAACTGGTTGAACTATGCAGGAATCAGGACTGATAAGTACTCTAGACTGGTCGCAGGGTTTCAAGAGTCATTGGTCCGATCGATAATTCACTGCTCTTTAATTGGCGGTATCATTACGTTATACATTAACAGGACACACAGGCCACAAGTTATAACACTAACACACGACCTGTTACGCACTAGACCCCCAAACTGACTACTTGAGTGAGAAGATAAAAGTGGAAGAGAAAGCCTATTGAGCCACCGAAAAAGTTCATTTATATAAATACATTTCTATCCCTTGGAAAGTCAACCCATTTCATAGCCAATCATATGTATTCGTTCTTTAGGTCATTTCGGATTGTCATCAAGTGAACTTCTCATTTGGCTACTTATGATTGGCTTACAATATCACCTTTCTCTTTTGAAAAATAAGTCCGCGTCCTTGGGCGTTAAGAGAAACAACGCTTGGTTCTGCTCTCTTTGAGTTCTAAATCTGGCTTTCCTATATGAAGATATATGGGGCCACATGAATTCCGGGTCCTTTTGAATACTGATTCAGCTGATCATGTACCCTTGAGTGAGGTTGAGTGCGGGATTGTTCCACGTGGTTCCCTCCGTCGTGCTCTCCGCCTGTGCATCATATGAAGATAGGAAGATATTTGGTTGCAATTAAGATTGGATGAGTGATCGAGCATTTTCGAATCTCGATTATAAATAATATTAAATAGATAGTCAAGCATTTTTTGTGATCCAGTCAGGACACAATAGATTGGACGATTCTTCAGTAACATAACAATTGGATCTATTATTAGATAATTAAATTTGATAATACAATTGATAATTCCAGAAACATTGATTGGGATGCCTGGTGCATTCTTCATGCAACCAGTAATAGGATGGATGCTTGACCGACCAAGTTTTGCCAGAAATCAAAGTAACATCAGATTTAGTGTCCAACTGTAGAGTGATAATATGGTCATTAACATTAGTGGATAAATACTTGAGTTATCATTTAGGGTTAGATTTTGACAAAACACGTACGCAACTTATCTTTTTTGGTATTAGATAATGAGGGTTTGTTGCATTTGCGAAATCTCTCCTTATGGCCAGTTATTCCACATCTTGCTCGTTTATGGTTATTAAATGGGCAGGAACGGGAGAAATGTGATGCCCCGCAGTTCCAACAATTAGTGAGAGGCTTTGTAGAGCGATGTGAATTAAAGTGGTGAACATTATACATTCAATTCGGTAGAGAAGAATTTCGCGAATCATGGTTTGCGAAATTAATAGTGTGTTGGGAAATTTTCATTTAATCAAATGAACTGGGATTTGGATGTTCGATCATTTTTGTATCAATCTTGAGATTAATAATACGACGACATTTATTTGTAATATCAGACTGCATTCTGAGTCTGACGATGATTGCAACTCACATCCAAAATTAGGACACTTAAATTGTTCGTCTGAAAGTGAACGTAACTTGAAGCCTTCACATTGCTTATTAAGAAACGCAGCATATGAAAGTCATCTTCAGGTTTCTTAACAGACCAATTATACGTTCTAATCTGCCCAAGTTAACCTTGAGCCAAAACTTGGGATACTCCTATCGGTCTGTTATCCCCACGCTTTTCCTCTACCGTCTTCTATGAGCCGAGTTTGCCAGCCACCTTCTCATACATTATATCTGAAGCTCATGTGGGTTTATATACCAACATCCTGGATCGCATTACACCGTAAAATAAAAATCATAATTATCCATCAACAAGCCAAAAGTGGCTGTGAACAGCGTAAGCTGTAAATATTTGATTGACAATGAAGTAGAAATAATAATGAGTTAAGGGAAAGCTTTGAGAAGTGAAATCCAGTTATTTAGTAATCATGGGATAAGAATATATATCATAATAATCCACCAACCTTCGCTCTAATACATCAAGTCTCTACACAATTGTGAGGTATATGTTTGTGAAAATAACAACATACACGAGACTAATGTTTTGCCAGAAATCAAACCATAACACTACAACTATTTAGAAAAAAGGCTAGGTGCTCAACTTTATAGTAATATCACTGAGATCCTTTTATCGATTTTCTGTTCGACATAATACTGTTATCTAGAAACCGATTAGTGTTAGAACAATTACTTGGAAGATACTACAGCCATATATGTATTTGTAGGTACTACTGTCATCCATCTACTTACATTGGAGCAGAGGGTTTCCAAACGGTGGTGAAGAAATCGAATGCAACACTTCAAAGTTATGATAATTAAGCTGTCTTGAATAGGATCCATTTATCAGTTACAACTCACCGATCACTCGGTAGTGACCAATACTGTGTTTACCTAGTCATTGATAATGATCGAATCTTATCGACAGAGTTGAAATGACACTGGTCATTACTCAGTGATCAGTCTAATTGTGAACATTTGTTATACAGGTAGGTCACCACTGGAACAGCTCGATTATAACTTTTGAGATGGTGAAACTAGGTGAAGGGTCCAGACCACATAGGGAACATCAATTCCTTCGGAATCCCACGTATGTCTTACTGATGTGTCAACTAGCATGAAATATAGATTGAGCCCAGGACCTCATGCCAACTATTCTCCAACCAAATAATAATTGTTTATTAAGAGTGGAAATAAATCTAAACACCTTATATTAATGGTTAATAACCTCGAGATGAGAACAATGGTGTAAGATTATTTGTAAAAGTATATATTTTTAAATATTCAACAATAGACCGTTGAATGATCAACAACAATAATTAATCCATATGTATGTAAAAAATAGTATACATCTCGTGTGAAGATAAGTAATAAAAACATATTTTTGTGTGGAGAAAATTTCGTTGCTAGGTGTACTACACAAATATGGAACAAAATGTAAGGAAAACAGAAATTCAAGAAGTAAAAAGAGGAACATTCAACAGATTAGCAACAAACGAATTGTCGTGATACAAATGACATTCGGTCAGTCATTTGTACATAGTGTGGACCTGGAATTGTTTTGATGAAGCTAGTTGTTGTTCAGTAACATACCAGCACACACACATAAGTGATAAGCATATAAATCTACGGAAGAGATAGATTGATTTACACGCCGATAAAATAAGTTCATGATAGAGTAATAGTAGAAAAATCACTACGAATATATTTCGTTATTTGGCAAGGAAATTAAGGGAGATGTCTAGACAACCTGTCCTCCTATTCATCATCATCACCATATCAAGAGTAAGGTGAATACAAAGGGATGAAGAACTGAAATGTAGGTGAAAGCGAGAATGAGCACTTAAAGTACTGGGATACACACATATACACCTACACATGCACAATACCAAATATGTTTCAATCAAACAATAATTTTGAAATAACATGAAGGTGTACAACAACAGAACAAATATGGAACAGAACACCTGAGTAATACAAAGTCACACAGACATTAGAAGTTGAGCACTTGAAGAGAATAAAGAATACAAGAAAGTTTTTTAAAAAAAAACAATCTTTGTACAAAAAGAAACTTCTGTAAAAAGGATTCGATGAAGAAAGATGCTTGTTGTCAACGTCAATGGATAAGTGGTACTACATACATATATCGAAATCTATAACTGAATGTGTATGAACATCCGCTTAACAAAGTATTTTGTTCACTAACCAAATCAAGGCAGATAATGAATGACAAGCTAAACATTAGAGATGAAATGCAATAGTAGTAGAAAAGATCAGTGCAATTGGCTGTGTGTCACCAACACATCCTCCTCATTATAGAGTGCAGTTAAATTCATTAAAAAGAACAATAACAAACAGAAGAGATTATAAGACAACGAGGGAAAGGTTGAGTGTATCCTCTACTACAAAGTAATGTAACAAAAGTTTTGTCTCTGAAAAAGTGTTTGCTACAATTTCGCAATTTGAAATAATACACGGTTGCTGCCAAATCATATATATATATATATATATATATATATATATATATATATATATGAAATACCAATTGATGTTAGTCCTAGAAATATACATACATACATACATACATATACATACTGCACATACTGCAAAATGTACATATCAATCAGACATAATAATTTAAAGGCTAGAAATGCAATTTAACGATAGACAATACAATTTATGAAAAAAATATAAATATACACGGAGAAGGATAGAGGAGCGGAACGATGTCTGTGCACAAGTATGTGTGTATTTGCATTCTAAGGAAACAGAGGGAGTTAAAAAAAAACAGGACTGCTAACGAAAGAGTTACATTTTTCAGTATAATTATGGTACAACTGGTTTAATTAGACGGTGTAGAAGTAATATTATTGTTGTCAAAATAATGATTACTACTGTCATTAACACCACCGTTCATTAGGTGATCAGTTCGTTGTGATTCTATTGGATTATCACTTAACTGACGATTATCAGGATAGTAGTCAAGTAAGTAAAGACTACTAGTACCAGCCAACGCTAGAGTATTTTCACGTGTGTGCCATGATAAATGAAGCAGTTTACGTGTTAAATCCATACATTCCACATTGACTTTACCCTCAGACCATGATCGAGCGAAAGCACCACTACTACTGGCACTGCTACCCCCGATAGTTCCATCAGATATCACTTGACATGGTTTCAGTTTACCGCATACACTATTTTCCATAGCTTCACGAGATGCTTCCATTAGTAGATCATTCGAGGTACCACGTTCAAATACACGAAAGTAATTATTGTATGAACCGGTGACAACCATACTGTAAAAGCAAAAATATTGGAAGAACTTTGGCACGGGGAAAAACAACGAAAACAAATCATCCCAAAAAGAATTAATTTTAGTTTAACTTGTAGATAATTTTCACTTTAAAGTAATCAATTAATATGAAGATGATTTTTTTACAGACTAAAGACAATAGCTGATGGCTAACGATTGAAATGGGCTACTGTGCGTTAGGCTGTGTTTTATCACAATTTCAAGACTCTCACACACCCCTTGCAATCGACACGTCGATCTGTGATAAAAGTATCCTCAAACTAAAAACTAATCTTCACACCTTACTACTATTACTAAACTAGGAATAATATTGTTGGTTGGATTGACACACATGAGATTTTCAACTTTGGAGCTGTACATACACTTTTTAGTGTTACTGTAATAAAATAGGGGTTCTTCAGCAGAGTTTAGATGTGTGTGTGACCAGTATGTACATAGTCATATGTGACGACAAAATGTTGGGAATAGGACCGGACTGTGGGGGTAACTTTAGTAATTAAAGCATGGAGACGAAGCCCATATTAGGTAGTAAGTAAGAACCCCTTAAAACCTACCTCGGCTGTGGGCAGCTAAATCGCAGAAGCATTGTTAGTACTTTCGTACAAACGGAATTCCCTATATGCGCATATACATTTCAAGATAGCTCCACATGAACGTGACACAGGATAACAAGAGAACAATAAACTAATTAAAAAATTGGATGGAAACAAATTGATGTATTTATGTTCGAGTGAATTCGTCAAATTTGAGGACGATTTTTAACACGAACAGCAGTGTGTCACAAAGCTGTAGTCATTAGACAAAACACATTTCAAAGTGGTTGGTTCAAAATTTAATACTTTCATTTAACAGTATAATGATTCATTACCAAGAAAATTAAAGAATAAGTCAGCCGTTCATAATGAACGTAGAGCCGGGCATAAATGTGTGTTGGCTCAAATCTTCACAAGATTGAATCAACAAAGTGAGTAGGAATAATCATCGCACTAATGGTAATGAGAAAGAGTAAACTTTGGGAATATAGTGTAAAAAGACAAAATGAGAAAGAATACCATAGCTCAAGATCTAGAGAAACATGAGCAACGAGTGCACCAGCACTACTGATGATTCATGTCACCTGTTTTCAACTACTGGACGTGATTATCTCATCTACACAAACAAACTTGAGACAGGAGAAAAGATGTTTTTAACACTAAATTTCTACTATTCCAACTTGTTTAATACGCATTGAGATAACCGCAAGCTAGAGTGCAGTAACATACATGACACGCCCTCTACTGTTTCATCCAATGGACATGAACACAACATTAGTAACAAGCATACTCTTATTTACATAACACTTTATATTTAATATCAGAAAGGGGTTTTTGTGGATATTATAGTAATTTAATAATTGATTTCAAGATTCAATTAAAGCTAGACCACAAATGCTCCCATGTTTTTTATGGTGGTCTAGCTTCAATTGACTCATGATTTCAACTATTAAATTACTTTATATTTAGTTAACGTTCTTAACAGTGCTGCCACTAATAAACGTTAATAATATACTTGAAATAAATTAGTTATAATTACAACCACAGTTGGCAATTCGATTCCTCACTTGGACCATAAGCAGATTTATTTTTAGTTTTATTCTCCAAGCAACGAGCATGGGATGTTGGACCCTAGTCAATACAGTTCAACTGAATGGTCCTCACAATATAAAAGCTTGGTGATCACTACGTCATGGGATAGAAGCAACAGAGGTAGGGAATATGTTTGAAATTATTGTAATCAAAACACCTTTAACAATCTCACATACATTTCCCAGATTTATATTATTTATTTTGATAATGATCACGTTTTGATTTGGTTAAAAAAAGGATTGTAGGTCTTCACGACTAATCAATACCGAAGTTGAGCTTGATAGATTAAAATAAACTGACCATTGGGTAGAAAGCTAATAATAAATATATTTTTCGCCATATCCCAATGAGTAGAAAACTATATTTCTGACGTTTCGTGCCTCAACAAAAGCCACTTCTTCAAGGCAAATAAATAACCAAAATGAAAATTGTTCCCTTTGTACTATTTAAACTTGTGTTAAGTTATTTCGGTTATTTCTTTATTGAATTATCTACCCATTAGGATATAACAAAAGATATAGTATTATTAGCATAGTTTTGGGATTAGAGTATGGATAACGAAACAGACACAACTTGCACAAAACTAAATAAGTTTGTGAGTAAAAATCCCTCTCTAAACTGAAGTGATTAAATTTAATCTAATACATAGAATTTCATTCAATATTTGTACTTAAGATCCTATGACAAATGTTTTTCACTTAGAATGATTGACAGTTAATATAGAGTACGTAAGTAGTGGTACGAGAGATAGCAATGTAATGCAACACAACAATAACATGGTACCGTTAAAAACTGTGGATTATTAGTGGAATGTACATGCCAACATGAAATAACATGTTTTCCAGTCATTCATAAATTAATTAATCTATTTTAGTCAACTTAATAATTGCATTTTAAGAAAAACATGTGAATCGAGGAAAATAATCTACATAAATCGGTCTATGTTAATAACGACTTATTGTGTGGGAGTTGTGGAGCGGTAGGGCATAGTGTGATCGCAATACAAGATAATGTGGGCTTAAACCTTGTTACAGGTCAATTAGTAGCATTGGTCTATACATATGCAAAATAAACGTGGCTCAAGGTTTAACAATACTAGTAGGCTGTATTTATAATTGGGTGTTAGGTTCCCCGCTAAGTTTAAAAACGAAGTGCCCATAGCAACCAGTTTCAATCAGTTTTGAAAACTAACTACATTTTTATTAGCTTCATCCATAAATACAAGTTTATTTGTTATGCACGATTTGATTGAACCACATCAAGTTGATTTAAACTATATTATTTAATGATCAAAGCAAAACCATTGACAGGTTTTTAAGTGAAAAAGCTTGAGATTTTTAATTATAACTTTAAAAAAATGAAGTTTTACCGAATTGGCTAACATGCTTATGTAGAAAACACATTAGTTTTAATTACATAGAGTTGACATTTCGTTAGAACATAACGATAGGACACATATAACATCATAATTACTATGTGAAGTCCATCTTAGCAGGATAGAATCACGACAACTGTAGCCCTACTATAAAAGTGTAAGTTGCAATATGTTGACTAGTCCAGTCAATGTTAGTGGACGGATTGAGAATATAATACAAATTTTTTCGATAATTCTAGAATATACAGGATATTACAGAGCAATATTGAAAGATTCGTGGTTCCAGTAATTAATTTTTGTATACACAACCCAATCTGTTATTATGATCGTCTATACCTTCAAATTTTTCCAACTGTCTTCCAAATTTATGTAAAAGATTAAAAAACTCTTCCCTCAAAACGCTATGATAAACCGAAATCTGTTAGTTAGTTTGTATTACAACTACCAAAATGTTTGACCTGAAAGTGTGCCCGATAGACTAGTGAATAAACCTATATAAATAAGTTAATATGGAGAACACACTTCTTAGTTGCTGTCCTAAACTTAAATACTTGATTCAAAGAGCCTCAGATTACCGCTTAGAACTCTAAATTCAAAACTTGGCATCTAAAAAATTGTACTATCGTTCATCCACTAATGTTCAAGTAAAGATAAATCTTAGACTGTTTTAACGCCACATATTGAAAGATGAAAGTATGGACGGCGCATTCTATGAGTGAGCGAATTATTTATCAATCTGAGGTCACCCTCTACATGCCTTTGACCGAGTCACTTAGCACACTTGGGAATTCGAAAAATTTAAGCATCAATATTGGGATCTTGGCAATAAAGCTTCCCACACTGGGTTACTTCTTTCAACATAGAGGATCAGTTGTGTTTAAGAGGCATACTTTAGTAACACTGAATAGCGCCGAGGGACAGAACAATAAGGTGACGAAAATAAATCTGAATATAGACCATACAGGACGTCCTTACATAACTCAGTATGTTACATTTAGGTACCTCTTCCATATAACCTCAATCTTATTGAGGTTATATGTCATGTTTCTCATGTTCAAGTAGTGTGTTAAACATAGCACTTTTGACTTCTTTCGTTCGTACTGAATTTCGGAGTGCAATTTTGACAAAAATTTCATTTTCGAACTCTAAATCTCATTATATATATATTTTAATCAGGGATGCTGCTCTGTGCTACACTGGCGTATTCACATCGAACATTTTCGGATAACTTATTCATCCACTAAATGAACGGGGAAATAAACCGAAAGTGCCGTGGCTTCAGTAACATCGTTTTGCTTGAACACTAAAGCATGACAGATCACATCACTTTAACAGCAACACTAAACACGCGAGATGAACTGGTGAACATCCAATTTTCAGAAAAAAACAGGGTTTAAAATGATCAAACAATTCTACCGCTAATCAATTCCACACTACTTTTATGCAGATTTTGATTGGTCAAGACCTAAATTGATTAGTCCAAGTTAAAAACAAACCAACCAATCAGAGATAAGTATCAGTCATTTCAACAATGCATAACAAGTACACAAATAAAATAATAGTAACAATAATCATCTAGAAAAAAACAATACCGCGGCTGTCATACTAAACAAGTATAATATTTTTCAGTGATATAATTGCTTACACAACATACAGAGAACAAGTGATTTGATAACAATAAATCGATCATTTTATTTACAAAATATTTTGATAACCATGTTGATAGATACTGTTTACGATGAATTCTCCATTATGTATTAATTATTTGGTCAACTTTAGATTGTTATGTTGGTGTGAAGAGAAAATCTCAAATGTGATCTATAATATTATTCCCCGGTTCAAATGTAGATTATGCATAATTGAGTGGATAGGTTTATTTACACCAGGATACTTTGCAATACAACTAAGGTATAAACTCTAATGAAGCTGTTAAACTTTTCAAACCAAAATTAATTAAGTAAATGGCTTTGGGCTCTTAAATCAATGGTCAGAAGCTGACTCATTTAGTCCACTGAGCCACAACTTTATATGTGATAAAAAAAATTAAACTTCAAGATAAATTCTCAAAGTTCTAAACAGAGAGCTATTATCGCTAGAAGTGAAGAATCATATTAAGTGGGATATATATATCACCGATCGTTGAGTAATGACATAAATGTGAACCGATTTCAACCAGGAGAATTGAAGTATTGAGATCTCTAATGTTGTAACGGAACGGATATTGTAAAAGTATATATATATATATATATATACCTTTTCGACTAACCTATTAATTACTACTGTATAACTTACCATTCCTGATCTGTTGCAAGTTTATTATTCAGTCTCCCTTTCTCACAGATACTTTTGGTTTCACCATGTATATTTGTTATTTTTTATTAGATGGTGTGATGTGTGGTGTGGCATACTTGCGTATGTCTGCTTAAAATATAATATTCGTTGAAGCTGATCAGTGACAGGGTAGAGAAAGGGGCTACGGAACCGTGGACCAATAAGGGTTGAGAATTCGAATCAAAGTTACTTATAATGGTCGGACGTGTAATTGGTCAGCTCAGGGACATTAAGTCATAGAAGTCAAGATTCTGATTGGTGGTTTCGGCCCTTGATTTTGGCCAGCGGTCATAAGACATAACACCCACAAGACACCAGTAAATCTTGAAGTCAATGAAATGTAACGGATATGTAAGTCCTATAAGGAACTCTGAAACTAGAATAAAATAGCTGTTCAGTTTAGCCCTGATATACAACGATTTTTCATATAACACGTCCATAATTTCAAAAATAAATAAACTTTTTCTTAAGGCTTTTGCGGGGTGCTTTGAATTCTATGATTTACACCATAAATTGATCTTAGTTAGACAGTTATCAAAAACCAGGAAGCACTGAACAAGTTGTTTCGTTGTAGTATTGGTCTCCTGAGTAGCAGTGTGCGTCCATGACCTGACCGCAGATCAAGCCTAGGGTGTTCTACACGCATGGTGTGTGGTTACTAACAAGTTACATATGTACTCGACATTTAAGGAGGAACTTAAATTACGACTCATTAACGTAGTAATTAGGTATATGTATTAGAATTTGTGCTGGAATTCAAATACTATTGTTAAATATGCTATTTATGTTATTTAGACAAAAGTAGGCAAGGCGATCTTGGACAGATATAGCTCAATGGTAAAAATGTTTGACCTGCAGCATTAGGTCGCAGATTTGAAACCGCTTTATTACATTCACTTTTGGTCAACTGGGTAGTATCACTAGGCCTTGTTGCACTCAGACTGTGTGGCTTGAGTTACGCAGAGACTTTCTTCATAAATCGATTGACAATATACAGCATAGTTCATTTTTAAATCATTATTACGATTTCCTATTACTTACTCATCGTTTGGTGACCATTGACATTCGAATTTATCAAATATACAATCATTTTCATAGAGTGCACATAATTTTGTACGGAAATAATCGTGAACGAGGTAAGTTTCAACTGGTCGACGAGGCATATTTAAATCCCAAACTAAAATAATTGAATCACGAAACAAAAAATTAGGAATTAAAGACAAAAGTGAATGAGATCACAAAGAGTGAATGGAATTTAAAAAGAAAATCACGAATAAACCAAGTGAATTATCATGTGAACATTTTAGCCCTGTGATCATATAAAATCCACTCTTGTTTCGTATAGGTGTATTTATTTAAATAGACTTTAATATATTTTGCCTTGTTATTGGTACAAAAAGTTTGTGGAGCATCAAAGAGAGGCTTATTTCGTCCTAGTATGGAGCTCCTAAGCAGTGTGCATCCACATCTTTATCAGGGATTGAGTCTAAAAACTCTGGACCTTGCGAAGAACGCACTACTGAATGGTAATATTAAGATGAACCACTAGTCTGGTGCATTTTTGGTCATCAATAGTTCATGACAAAGAAACTTCAAATTTAACAGTCTCTATAAACAGCTTACATTAATGGATATGTGTATATATTACACAATCCGAAGCTGAATTTGATGAAGTCATCAGACTTGCATAATTAGCAATGTTCAGAAAACTAGAGGTATTATTATTCAACTTGCTTGTAGGGCACTTAAATTTTTTAAAAGGTTCCAAGTCAAATACAAAGCGATAATACTATTTAAAACATTCACGACTACAAAAAGTAGTTGTTCCGTGGGATCTGTGACTACGCCTCCAGGACTTTAAGATTACCATGAAACCAGTTTCTTTTCAAATTCCTTAAGGCGTGACCTTCCAATGTGTGAGAGCGACAAGGAAATTACTACTACCTTTGACAACTGGAGCTTATCTTGTTCGAATGCATAAACTTATAATTACAGAATGTCCAGTGAAAAATGGCATTTGGAAGTACAATAAAAGTGTGCACGTCAAATTATAGATAATTCCCTATTTATTTGAGTTGTTAAACAAATAATCAGTCCTGTCTAAAAACAAAAATAAAAAGACATAGGGATTTCAGAAAAACGGTAAATACACTGTACCTTTCAATGTTAAGTAATCTCGACTTAAAATATAACGACCGGAATGACTAAAATTTAAATCGGATATATTGTTAATAATTTCAGAGAAAAAACACCGACTCATTGGATCGTCGACTTCTTCAAACGCTGCAAAATAGAGGGAATAAAAGAAGGTATAAAATAAGAAAAAAAATCAAAATCAGTTATCGTCGATACAATGGTGAAAAGAGAGGAACCTAGATACACGGATTGTATTGGGTTCCGTGTGATCTGGACACAACGACAGGAAAAAAGATTTATGACCTATCTCTCTAGTCCGTTTATCGACTAGTCCAGCTATACTGCCAGTAAGATCAGTTTAACCAGTCTTTTCAGGTAGATAATTGTATGAGTCTTGAACCATAGTTGAATTGAGTACGAAAGAGAATTGTTTTGTTTTTTATCTTTATTTTCTAATTGTCTACTTGGTTAGGAGCTCGGAGATCAATAAGCGTTAAGGCCTTAGTTGTTGTTCAATGGTCGACGTGTTCATCGGTGCTTAGAATGTTACTGATCTTACTGGCAGTATAGCTGGACTAATCGATAAACGGACTAGAGAGAGAGGTCATAAATCTTTTTTTCCTGTCGTTGTATCCAGATCACACGGAACCTAATACAACCTAAGCAATGTTTTCCTCCGACAAAACGAAAATCATAACCTTACATCGCACAATAAGGTAAATAGAATACTACTTACATAATGCATGTTCATCGCACAGTGCACGTTGACGCATATCACATAAACGTATGGTGCCTTTACTGCTGCTGTAAATAAATAATGAACACGCTGATGGATGAAATTGAGCAGCTGTTATCACTTCAGACAAATCTTCCATATTCACAGGTTTTAAATCAACAATATCTTATTATTTTTTTAAAAAAGGGGTTAAAGAAAAATAGTCTTACTTCATATTTTGTTGTATATATATGTATACGCAAGTGGCTGCTGAATTACTTATTATTATTATTAATACAACACAAATATCTGTATGAATTTGTCTTAGATAAATTCAATACGAGATCAGAATTTTTCCTCATTTATTAGTCAAGCATAGTGTAAGTACTTTGTGTATGCAATGCGTTGAATAGTTGAAGAAAAAGAAAAACAAGTTGCCACTAAATAATGACTAAGTTAGTTTCAGTTTGACTAAAGCTTAGTATAGACTTGCGCAGTGATTAGTCTCCACAAGTTCATCTGTACAACAGCGTTGGTAATTTACTGAGCTACTACTAATTGATAACTAATAGATCAACCGAAATAGAGATCGATAGAATTGCATCAATACCAAGGGTCTCGCATAAACGATATAAATTGCTGCTCAACGTTCAATCAGTCCTACAGGTGGTAACATTATGACTCAAAAGGCTAAATGATGGCTTCCTTTTGATGCTGGGCGACGCGCGTTCATACTCACAAGAAGTACTAGTTTTTGGAGGATTACAGAAACGCATTGCTAGGTAGTACTAACTAGCAAATAGCTTAGATCCAAGTAAATCTCCCTATTGAGTTCCTACAGGATTTGATTTGAAACTCTTCAAAAGCATGCTTACATAATTTCATAAAAGACTGAATCCTAGTCTTGCGTAACGAGCACCATACATAATTAAAAATGACTATTTGTTGTTCCGTGATTCTCCATACTTTCTTAGCCTAAGTTTTCGCACACTTACTAAATGCAGACTTGTGCGCTTGGTTAAGGGACACAATTTAAGTGTGAGGCCCAGCGATATTACATGGAAGTAGGTTGAACCAGTGACTAAAACCTGAGAGTTGAATGCTTAAGTCCCTGCTCTACAATAGCTCATTAAGGTCCAAACCCGGAATCTACTGACCTGTAACTAGGACTGTTATTTATTGCAGCACAGGGATCCTTAAGCTATAGTCAATGTCCGTGATCCAAAAATACCTACCAAAAGTACACACGGGTAGAAACGAAGTTCCTCTACAAAAAAACTATCTAACATTGAACAAACAACAAGAGATAAAGAAAAGGATACTGAATGATTGGTTGGTAATTTCTAAATTCCATAAATTAATTCTTAAATCATCCGCTGAGAGAAATGTTTCTTGATCAGAATTCACTGATAATGAATTAATAAGATAAGTATGTGCATTAGCAAATATTCGTTTAGGATGTGCATCCATGACAGGGTCAATATCTTCATAATATGGTACACGTAGATCAGTTTTCTGATAAATTTTATTCAATGAAACGGATGAGTTATTCTTATCGTTCAACATAAGATTATCATCATTATCGGTAGTATTAGTACTTCTAGTTGTATTATTGTGTAAGAAGTAATCAGATGATGTACAAGTACTATTGGCAACACGTCGACACCGTTCAGTAATGCGCCAAAGTTTAATTGTTTTGTCTGTAATAGAGAGGGGAGAGAACGAGGTAGACAACGTATCAATTGTTTGGTAACTATTAGAAGCAAATGAAACAACCCTGCTACAAAATACGTTTACACACACGTAGTCTATCCAATAAATACACGAAACAATCTCATTAAAATATTATTTTACACAATTCCAGGTATATCGGTTTTCTTATCTCATATTTTTAAATATTCCTGGAACAACAGACTTAATATATCTGTCCAGCCCCTTACATTTTCACTTTTGAAAAAAAAGTCCATGAAATAAATTAGAAGTTAGAGTCTTCTCTAGTTGCTACTATGTTGTCCTTATAGATTTGATCATCTCCACATCGTTCCACCAGCGCCGCTTCCCCAACCCATGTGACCATTTTGCATCTTGGAAACAGTGAGAAATTGCAAGAGACTAATTTGAGTAATTATGAAGGATAGTTCAGCACGATAATCAGAATGTGGAACTAGACAGAAACAATTACTGAGCTTAAATATTCAGTTTTTCCTTAGCAAGGCAAGATGAACAAAAATATTACTGACCATTTGTAGAAAGCAGAAATTGTGCATGATTAGTACGTGGTAACCATCGGATTTTATTGATTTTCTCTTCAATTTCCAATGATTTAAGATAGTCGAATTCCGGTTCATGACTGACAAATGTACAATACACATTGTGACTGATGCATTTTTGAAGTTTATCCTACAAAATTTTTCAGAAAAAAGAGTGAATCGTAGATGGACGAGTGAATTACTATGATTTTAGTTTAACTTAATAATTCAACTAAGTATGCCAGAACAGGTATGATGTACATTGTATTTGAGTCAAACAGTTTTTCGCAAGAGTTAGTGACACGCTATCCTGTCGTGTAACCCGAAGCAAGCACAATGAACTTCAAGCCTGTTACCCTGGTGGTTGACTGTCGAGAATAAATCAAGTAGAATGGAATTTAAACTTGTGATCGAATGACTGATAATAATAACTGTTATGTGGGATACTTGGTCGCGGACTGAAAGATCTCGAGTACTCTTAGAGGTTGCCTACGGTGAGGAATAATAAATGCTTTTGAGGTGACTGAAAAGAAAATTGGATTAGTAATAATCTTGAAGACTTGACAGCGTGTTCACAAAATCTAAGAGGTAACTGCTTAAAGCCGGTCACACACAGTCTTTTTGTGAGTGGTTCTTGATGTGTTAGGTCTATAATTTAAAAATGTCAATAGTCTGGCCTCATGTTAAATATAAAATTGCCAACTACAAATTATACACAATAAAATGAACAAAATAAACGGGCGTGAGGGAGATACATAAAGTGATGGTACAAGTGTTCACTAACTTAAGTAGTTACGCATCAGGAGAAAATGAGAAAAATGGAGGAGAAAGCAATAGTATTATTACTAGTAAGAGTTTGAATTATCCAATTTTTTTTATATTTAAGATCAAGTTTAGATCATTCCTACATACTGGGATACGCGCATCCTGTGAAGACTGTCTTGATATGGCTGTTTCGTTACAAATATTTAGAACAGATAGATTATGGCCAGCGATGGAAACCAGAAAGTGGGTTTTGTTCTATCTGCACCCCGATGTTGACGTTCACATTGAAATTTGAAGTTAGAGGTTCTGGGTTTGAATCCCAAGTTGAACATCAACACTAGAATGCATCACAGATTTGGCTAACTAGTACCAAAATAAAACGAAACCCGAATACTGGATTCGATCACTAACTAAAATCCATCTATTCCGTAATCCTTTAAAGAAAGCAAATGAAATCGGAGAATAAGGAAAGTTTGAGACCATATTATTGCTTAAAACTGAAAGGAAGACCGAAAACGAATACTTTTGCACCGATTCAATCTGCTTTTTGAAACTAATATGAATTATAGAGGGTTCTTTAGAAAGTAATTAAAAAATCTTTATAGGTTGTGTCACTTTTCACATTCCCCAATGATATATAACATGAAATTAGCTTTCAAACAGCTAACAGTGAGTAAACTATCTCCCCAACAGTAATAATAAATTCGTTTATTAAACGATGTAGTCTCGTAAGCTAATACGTGTGATAGCCAATAAACTTTGTTGCAAGCGAATATTAGTCCGACATACAGACATCATCAAAGCAGAACCTAGCATAGATATGCTGGACCATATTGTCATACCAAATTAGTACCAGATGAATTGTAAAAGAGATTGAAATAATTTAGCAGTAGTAATGATAAAAAACCAAGCATTGGTGAAAAGATTGCGTGGAAAGGTAAGTACATGAAGCGATCAAGAAGAGAATAACGAGTGAATGCATTTGAGCCAATGTGAAAGTTAAACAGTAACAAAATCATTCACCAATAGAAGTTGAAAAATCGAACGTAATTGTGTATCTTAGAATTTTTAGAAAAGCAAACCTATTTTTATCAAGCAGTTAGAAATTGTGTGATAGGAGTCTAAAGTTAAAGAGCTCACCATTCCGCGATTCACACTTACAATGGTCCTCTAAAAGAATTAAGGCTACTACCGATCCATAATTCTGACAGATGAAGATATGAACAAAGACGTTAAATTATGGTAACTGAAATAAACCGTTGAATTACAAAACTTGTACACCAACTATAAGGGAAGAGCAAGGAAACTTTTCTCCGACTTAGAATTTGTCAATCAAAAAGTAGAATTTAGCAAATACGTGAACTAATTTCAGTTGTCACACTATAGCAGCACAAGACGAAATTATCAAGAAACATGCCTGTGTAGTAGAATTAGTACCAATGTCAGAGGTTGTAGAAATAATTAGGTATAGACAACATGATTCACGAAGAGAGAATAAATTTTGGGGGCAAAAAGTGCACAATAATTTTAGACTTGGAATCCAAGGTGCTACACAGAGGAACGTATTTTTGCCCTTGAGACTGATTCTGATCCACGTCACTCAACGTCTCAGAGCAGTGATCACGATAATCACATGAATCCCAACCAGGTAGTCTGCATCAGCCAGCACGACTCAGCCTGATAGTCAATCACTTCATGAACTGATCCCAAATGTGGGTTTGGGCGTCCCTATTCTTATTGCAACACTCCTACACTAAACATTAAGCACCTAAGCAGCCAGTGGATGGATGTACATAAAACATTCCAGAGCGCTGAAGATGTCATCGAATCAACACTAAATATCAAAACATATTAGTCTATAAATAGTTTTTTTTAAATATTCTCTCTCTCTCTCTCTCTCTCTCTCTCTCTATATATATATATATATATATATATATATATATATATATGGTTTGGGATTATAGATGTACAAAAACGTGTTAAAGATTATCAACTTTATAACTAACTTCATTTTCTCGTTTAAAAATCACAATTCTACCGCCATGGTCACCGGTTGCTAAAAAGTCGCCAGTTTTATCATATTCAACACAAGATATAATATCAGCTAAAGATCCATAGCGTAAATAAAAGACATTCTATTCTGTTACCTTCATTGACATCTTCACAGGTCCCCTTGATTTGGTTGAAATACCAACCTTCTAAGTTCCCTATAATGAAATGATTGACACATGGAAACAAATATTATTAAAATTGGGAAATAACAACTCGGCTACACATATCTGAAAATAAAGGTGTTTTTAGTCGTTACGATGCCGAATTTCCATAAGCGCTCTGAAAGTTACGTTTTTAGTATCTGATTATCAAAAACACTTCCATTTTTTCTCTGAATACCCATGCGCTTCGAATAGTATTACTACTGGTTGATGCTACAATAAACTATAAAATGTCGTCTTTTCGATCCATAAAGACTGTGCTAGAGAGCTATTACGGGAATAATGTACTTATTTCCCGTGTGTTTTGTGATATTCTATTCGCTTGCCGGATCACGTGGCAGATTTATAAAATATACTAGTATATGACACTAGTTGATTGTACAAGTTTCAAAAAGATTTAGTTCACGTGTGGATCATAATGAGTTGCATTTATAAAAAAAGGGTCTAAAAGAAACTTTATCCAAACAGCGCCGAACCAAGCTCGAAAGTAAACTAACTCAGTCACATTTCAAAACAATAGAATAGCCAGAAAGGAACAATATGAAGTAAAAAATAACTAAGTCAATAGCTAAGAAACAAAGTTACGTTTAAGATGTACACAGTAAAATTGTGCTAGGTTTGAAGACATTACGAGTTCAATTAGTATGCGAACCGAACAAAGACTTGTGAGCGTAGACCAATAAGCTAGCTATTTGATGCGTGCCAGATCCGCTAACTAGAGGAAGAAGCCCAAGCTTGGAACGGGAAGGTATATTCCGTAAGCCAGAAGCACGAGTGAATAATAACAGACACAAATCAAACGTATATATACAGCATAAAACTGTCTATGGGGAGCGTAGCAAAAATAGTATACTAAAAACACACAACGGACCAATAGCGTTAAAAATTCTCCCAAGTGGGAAATATGACATGAATTTGAAAAGTGCGCTTATGGTGCGAAAACAAGGAATTTTAAACTTCCAAAATAAAATTATGAAATTAAGGCATTTACCAAGTGAGCTCAGGGGATCTAACATCCCCACAAAACTGTTCATAAAGAGATCTGTTACTGATACTAACTTCAAACATGAAGGTTTTGCTAGCCTCGAAATACATAAACCGTGATTAATAATTAGTTTCTGGAGACAAAAAGCTATACAGATAAATTTATATGTAATTATAGGGATGAAATATTAAAAATAATAACCGAAATATTGTAAAATTCGCTTTCAAATACCCACGTGAATTGACTAATTACCACTGAAGATAAAAAACGCTTCAATTTACTGAAAATTTTCGTACTGTCCATGATGACATGAGCTATCAAGAAATGCACATGCATTTGACACGGAACAATGGATTTTTGAAGAAAATACTGAACTGACGAAAAACGAAATAGTTTGCAAATGATGATGTTAGCGGGACATAGACTAGACTAAAGCATGCTCAATGCATGATTGCTTTGGTACACGCTGATTGGCTAATTCTTATCCAATCAGCGCTAGTCGATAATTGGAGAATATTCTGGATTCTTCTTATGTAAAAACTATAAATATACCGACGTTTTCCCCTATTGTGCTTCCTACTGGCTTCTGATTTGCTATTTGGAATATAATCTTTTTCCTGTTCAACCGTGTTTTGATTTGGGGACTTGTCGAGTGAATCGGTGTCCGAGAATACTAAGCAATAGGAATAGCTGGGTCATTAACCGTAAGAAACAGAGTTATAACAGTGGCGACGGGGAAAAACTAAAGAAAAATGGCGATTTCTTTAGAACAGTTGCGGTTAATATTACAGCACCAGCAGAAGTTGTTAGCCTTGCAACAACAACTATTGAACACACTTTTCACTCGACCAGAAAATAAGAAATCTGTTTATGATGCAGTAACAGACATTTCAGAAGCATATCTAGTGGAGGGTTCAAATCCCTTTATACCTGAATCAGAACGTAATATTTGTAACGTGTCCGGCTCACAGCAAGAAAATACTGTGCTGAATGCACATGAAGTTGTGACAATACCAGATGATCAGGAGCCAGGTCCTGTAGATGAAGCCCGGAGTCCAGAATCAAATGAAACACTACTGGTACTGTCTAGCTGCGAAAATAAACGTCAGCTCGAACAAAATTGTGGTCCACGTGCTATTAGTCGAGAAAGCTATGGTGACTCGTATTCAGAAAATAACTGGAGCAACACGATGAACCAAATTGTACCAGATGTTACTCAAAATCACCGGAAGACAGAATTTTATATTGAGTCAACTTATCCCATTTCTAATGACAGTGTACCAGATATTGATTCTCAGAATAATGCATATGATTTTGATGAACCGTCTTATAACAATGAGGGAAATATGTCAGCTGAGTCGAATGATGGCCAAAAATCTAATCTAATTCTGTTAGACGTTGACTTTCTTAATGACTCGTTATCAGCTAACGAGATTCATAATGAATTTGAAAATAATGAACTCAGATCAAAGGTTGTTCATCATCATCTAGTCATTTTTAGTGGATTCTCCAGTCAATACGAGAAACATGGTTTAAATAAAGTCCTACTAGTTATAATTTGGAGCCATAAGGACCCAACATTATTTCGAGGAGGAGGAGAATGTTGGAGAATTAGAAGTTATGCATACTTTTTTTTAAGAAAAATCAAAACGCCGGGAACAGACATGTCAGTCTCTGTGCAAGGAAAAAGTGATAATTCTTCATTGTCTAGACGATGGACTAATCGAAAGCACAAGCCAGTCACTCAGTTGCAGTTGGACCCTAGCACCAGATCCTACGAATCTGCTCAGAGGGGAGGTGTTAGCGGGACATAGACTAGACTAAAGCATGCTCAATGCATGATTGCTTTGGTGCACGCTGATTGGCTAATTCTTATCCAATCAGCGCTAGTCGATAATTGGAGAATATTCTGGATTCTTCTTATGTAAAAACTATAAATATACCGACGTTTTCCCCTATTGTGCTTCCTACTGGCTTCTGATTTGCTATTTGGAATATAATCTTTTTCCTGTTCAACCGTGTTTTGATTTGGGGACTTGTCGAGTGAATCGGTGTCCGAGAATACTAAGCAATAGGAATAGCTGGGTCATTAACCGTAAGAAACAGAGTTATAACAGATGACAAAAGTCCTACTATATAGAAAGAAACTGCTGTCCAAATTACCGATTCAGTAAATATTGATAAGGCTTATATGGGATAGCAGTGATCTATCAAATACTATGAGAATTATAAACCGATAGAGCTACAAAGGTCGTAAGTAGGTAAATGCCTAGATCATTAGAATGGTTACCCAATGTTGAAAGGATGAGATAATAGGACTCTTTTCACATTATTTTGTTTTGCTTTTGCGATTCCCTAGGATCCTCTGTGAACAGCACATTAATTCTATTTATTTATTTGAGCACATAAACATTGGTACAAAGGGGCACCAAATACATATGCGCCATACAATAACAATGAGGTTGTAAAGAGAGAGAATATAAAGTGCGTATAATAAAAAGAAATTAATGTACGAGAGTGAAATAATAATCATAATAATGGGAGAAACTGTTCAGTTGCGAAAAATACAACTAGAAAGAAATCTTTCAGCTAAAGTTATGATTACTTTTATGAGGAAAGTTACAGCAGGATTACTGCGGGCTTTCATTGTGAGTCATGTATGACGTCTCAAACCACTGTGTCGCACCACCTCTATGACCCCAACCAGGTAGTCGTGAAGGACCAACAGAAGCCAGTTCTGTACAGCTTTCTTTCATGCTACGACGCCATGTCATACACTGACCACCTCTCCGCTTTTTCCAATCGTTCTTAGCGTCGGGAAAGAATGCGCGATGTGAAATTCTCTGGGACGACATTCATAGTACATGTCCGAGTAGCCGAACTCGTTGTTTCAAGATGATGATATCGATTGAATTATCGTCGCTGTGCCCTAACACGATGCCGAACCTCTGCATTACTAACATGTTGTGGCCACTAGAAATCAGCAATCCTTCGGAGACAACGATAATCAAACACAGAGTCGTCTAACATCCTCAGCTCGGAGAGACCAGGTGTCAGAAGCTGTTAGCGGGACATAGACTAGACTAAAGCATGCTCAATGCATGATTGCTTTGGTGCACGCTGATTGGCTAATTCTTATCCAATCAGCGCTAGTCGATAGTTGGAGAATATTCTGGATTCTTCTTATGTAAAAACTATAAATATACCGACGTTTTCCCCTATTGTGCTTCCTACTGGCTTCTGACTTCCATCTAACCTTGTTATTTGGAATATAATCTCTTCCTGTTCAACCGTGTTCTGATTTGGGGACTTGTCGAGTGAATCGGTGTCCGAGAATACTAAGCAATAGGAATAGCTGGGTCATTAACCGTAAGAAAACAGAGTTATAACAGTGGCGACGGGGAAAAACTAAAGAAAAATGGCGATTTCTTTAGAACAGTTGCGGTTAATATTACAGCACCAGCAGAAGTTGTTAGCCTTGCAACAACAACTATTGAGCACACTTTTCACTCGACCAGAAAATAAGAAATCTGTTTATGATGCAGTAACAGACATTTCAGAAGCATATCAAGTGGAGGGTTCAAATCCCTTTATACCTGAATCAGAACGTAATATTTGTAACGTGTCCGGCTCACAGCAAGAAAATACTGTGCTGAATGCACATGAAGTTGTGACAATACCAGATGATCAGGAGCCAGATCCTGTAGATGAAGCCCGGAGTCCAGAATCAAATGAAACACTACTGGTACTGTCTAGCTGCGAAAATAAACGTCAGCTCGAACAAAATTGTGGTCCACGTGCTATTAGTCGAGAAAGCTATGGTGACTCGTATTCAGAAAATAACTGGAGCAACACGATGAACCAAATTGTACCAGATGTTACTCAAAATCACCGGAAGACAGAATTTTATATTGAGTCAACTTATCCCATTTCTAATGACAGTGTACCAGATATTGATTCTCAGAATAATGCATATGATTTTGATGAACCTTCTTATAACAATGAGGGAAATATGTCAGCTGAGTCGAATGATGGCCAAAAATCTAATCTAATTCTGTTAGGCGTTGACTTTCTTAATGACTCGTTATCAGCTAACGAGATTCATAATGAATTTGAAAATAATGAA